GATTTTCCCTGCCCATGTGTGACCTCGCATTTTTATACGTTTTTTTGTGCAGCACTATAGCGTTGCTACAGTAAGCAAAAGCGCATATTGTCGAGAGGTCGTTCGTGTATATGTGTGTGTGCTTGAAAACGAGTGAACTTTGTCACCCACTTTCACTCAGCAACTAGAAAAGATGGAGGCTGAAATTTCGGGGTCATATTCGCACCCCGTGTTTCACCCTTCCATTTTTCGCCCAAACCGGTCTAGACCTTGAGTACGGATAAGTGAAAAAAAATATGTAGATTTCTTTAGCAGAAAACGATTTCGTGAACCAAGCAAGACAGAAAGTTGAAAATTTGTAAGGGTATTGTCTGTGCATGTACGAGCAAAAGATTTTAAATGCAGATATTGCACATACGTATACCGCGCATACGGTCACGTCAAAGTTCGCAGTTGGCACATTTTTTCAAAATATTTGTTGTTCATTTGGAAAATCGTGTACCTAAACTAAACTGAATTGTATACCTAAACTTTTCACTTGCACCACGACTTAGAGCGCTTCAAAAATATTTGTGGCAAAGTGGTTATTTCGCTTGCTAGGCAAGCTGCAAAGCTGAAACTTTGCAGTGGTATTCTGTGTGGTCTTAATTTAATTTGGAGGTGCAATTCTCTACATACAGATATGAAAGGTGCTCAATTTTATCGTAAATTCAAAAGCGAGTGTATTTTACAGGCTTCATAATTTTCTTCCGATTTCCTTAAAACTTGCATTTTCTTTTTTAATGAAGAACATTCAACGGGAGAGTCACCGAGCTTCATGCGAGTCCAGGCTGGAACACATCAGGTTTGCCTGTGCGATCATGTGTTTTTGCACCGGACTTCAAGTACTCAGTTCATTAACTGCATGAATGATTACTGCTTTACACCTACTTTTTGCGCTCACTAGCATAAATCACTATAAATTTTGATTGAAATAAATGTACGATTTCCATTTAACGGTCGTTCTTTGAATGTAACCTAGCTGTTTAACTTTTCCGCCAAAACTTTCAAGTGCCCGCAAGTGAGAACCGAGCATATCTGAAGTCTGAATTTGAAATATTTAAGTTGTACTTGGACAGGGAATATTCCCTTGAAATTTCAGCCTTCCGGTTTTTTGGTTACCGAGTTAGCAATTTTTCCGCCAAATCTTCCACGTGTTCGCACATGAGAACCATGCATACCTGAGGAATGAATTTGAAATATTTAACTTCTACTTGAGCAGGAGGCATTAACCCGAAGTTTCAGCTTTCTAGCCTTTCTGGTTCCCGAGTTAGCAATTTTCCCGCCAAAATTTTCACACGCCCCTGCATGAGTTCCACGCATACCTTGGGACTGAATCTGAAATCTTTAGCTCACACATGTGCAGGGAATATCCCTGCAAAGTTTCGGCCTTATCCGGTTCCCGAGATCGCTTTCCGGCCAAAAAATTTGCATATTTTTTTAGAGCGTCCGTAGTGCGGCACTCAGGCATAGGCGAGAGATGATATTAAAACGGGAGGGTTACAAATGGTATAGGCACATGCTCTGAAAGTTTCAGCCTTCTAGCTTTTTTGGTTCTCGAGTTGAAAGTGAGTGACAAAAAGTTCAAACACACAGACACACACACAGACAGCTTCTTGCCAACTTGTGTTTTTATGCGTTTTTGCTGTGCAGCGCTATAGCGCTGCTACAGCCAGCAAAAACGCATATTG